CTGCGCAGAAGAAGCCACATCCCGGGCAGCACTGGTGTTTCACCATTCTCCCTCTGTGGTCCTCACACAGCACTAAGAGCTGGACTTTGTTAGACGGGCGCATCAGCTCGTATTTCAGCACGTGATTTGTGCATCGGCTCAGCTGGAAGGGGGGTGAAGAGGGAAAAGCCAAGCTTGAAAAGCCTATCAGATAAATAGAAAGCCCTCTTCTCTGCCACACTATGCACATTTGAGAGACATTTCAGGCACTGCATTGGATGAACTGCGGCCTCTTTGCAACAATTTATATGCACGCCAAGCAGCCTCATCTACACTCAACAACAAAGGAATGCATCGTTTCCTTCTTAAGCTCATGTCTCAACCAAAAGCCCAAACACACCTCACAGTCACATGTGGAAACAGTGGGAGTTGCATCCTGCACTCTTGCTCAGTGACTTGAAGGAAGGGTGGCCTTACGCACCACACTTGGGCTCATTAACAGGCAAAATCCCTGGATGAAACACAGTCAGTTTGGACAAAGAAGGAAATTGGTGCTTATACTCAGTGAGAATTGCTAAACAGACCTGGGCTGCAAAGTGTTTTCCCAAATAAAGGCCCAAAGTCGTTTTGATCTGCTAGCTGTCTGACAGCAACATGAAATCTGGCTTGAGAGAAATTGCTGGCCTCACTGATCTAGCTTTCAGACACCCTTTGGCTTTCTTTACAATCCAATCCCTGAAGGCCCACCAAGAACATCTGCTTTGCCAAGCCAAAGAAAATCAGAGATTAATCCACGTACATTCCTACATCTCTTTATACCTGCGGTAGACTGGCCCTGCTCTGCTGCTGGGTAAACTGGCCCTACTGAAAAAGACGACGGCACTGGAGGCGAGGTAGCAGTCTTCTCTTTGGTGTTCCAGACCATTCGCCCAGGCAACTCACCACTTGATGGTGTAATCATCGGGGGATAAATTAATCATCCTTGGGATCGCTCCTCTATACTAATTCAAACCCAAATCATTAGCGTATCAGCAACAGTGCAGGACAGTGCTTGCATCTGGGTTTCCAAAAAAAAAAAAAGAGTTTTCTCCTCCCTGCCTCAACTTTGCTCAAACAAGGCACTCTCCAATAGATTCTCCCTTAAAAATCAGATGATAAGCAACAAAACATTTCAGACCAAAAAAAAAAAGCCCCAATTCGGCATTCTCCAAAAAATTTTGGGGTTGGGTTTTTGTGGGGGTTTTTTTGCCTGCTTATCAGAATCTGGACATCACCCGTGGGGTTTTTTAACTGGAGCTCTTTCTTTCCAAAATGCGCAAGCCGCTGATCTGGAGAACCAAAAAGCCCCCAGCCTGACTTTTTGACCCTGTTTATCAACGAGGGGGGGGGGCACCATCCAACCCCCCCGCAAGAAAAGAATCCGCCAGTTATCTCCTGACCACAGGCAGTCATTAGAGCTTGGCTATCCCAGCAGCGGCTAATTGAAAAACTACAGGGGTGGTGGCGGCAGCTGGCTGGCGGAATCTGCAGCCGCAACAGAGAGTTCCTGGGCTTCAGAGCAGCCTGTGGCGGTGATCTGATGGAGGGAATTCAGCAGGGGTGTCTCTGGGAAGAACAAGCACGGGAGGGGCTGGAGGGGCTGGGGGTCCACGTGCAGCACAGGGACGACTCCTGTTTATTCAACTGGGGTCTTGAAGAGGAAAGGCTGAGTCTAATAAATGAATGAATAAATTTACATTCATCCTTGGGGAATAACGTCTTTAGCAGAAGGAACGGGTATGTCCACATGCCCGACCACCTTGCCTGCATGCTACCCATCCAATTTGTTGCGATCTATTTGTCCACTTGGGCACGCACAACTGCGTTTATTTTCAAAAAAAGGACACGGCGGCAGCATTCTATTTGGGCAGACAGGCGGTTTCGGGGACCGTCACGGTGAGCGTTTTTGCTGCTCCGTGTTGGGGGGGGGGGTCTCCCTTGTCACCAGCTCATCAGTCTGAAGCCAGCTCTGTGAGCTTCTTTCTGTTCCCACCTCAGTGCCCAGTCTCTCTTCACTGTTCACCTCTCCTGCCCATCACATTCTCCCTGTCCCGTCCTTCTTCTAAGGAGCTCAGCATAACAGGTGGGTTAGGCCAAGAGAGGGAGCGGTTGGCTCAAAACCATCTGGTGACTTTCATGAAGCCTGGTCTCCCCAGTCCTGGCCTGATCCTCCAGCCCTGCGGCTCTCTTCTTCGGTTGTCCTGGGTTCTGTTTTCTGGAAAGGCTCACTGTCTTCTACCCTCCGCTACTGGAATAAAACTGGCACACACACACACCCCGCGCCTGGAGCCTCCATTCTTTGCAGTCCAGCTCTGTGTGTCAAAACTCAAGCTAGGGAATTACCCCCTGGCTACACCTGAGAGCCAAAGTAGATGCTGTGTTTCACTCACACAGCCACTTGCAGTGAGACAGCAGCTGCAAGATCCCCCATGGGAACTCATGGCCTGACAGTGCCCTGATTCAAACGGGACTGCAGCACGGGGGACAAGGGGCTTCGGCCTTCCCTAGGTTGGGAAAACAGTGTGGGGGAGGAAGGCTGAAGCTCTTCCTCCCCCAATGCACTCCAGCCCCCCCATCCAAATCAGGCCCCTGCGCTGCTGAAGAAGTGAGTTCCCACGGGGAACACGCAGCTACTCTCTGACTGCCAGTTCCCACGGTGGCCACACAGCAAATGCAATGTCTAGTTCAGCTCTGAGACACTCCCAAGTTCCACAGCTATTATAAAACAGAAAGGAGCAAAGGCAGAAGCAGCTGATCAGACCCGTCCCTTGCCATGTAAGTGGCAGACAATCCAAATGGTGCATCCAATTGACTTCAGTGCCCCTCTGCTGAGAACCAGGCAGGGCTCAAGGACTGTAATATTAAGAGTGAAGCGCCGTCGTCCTCTGGCTCCACCAATTACTTCCAGCTGCCATAGCCCCATGTTGGGCATTGGGGCCTGCGGCACGCCAGCCCGCCTTCTCAATGTTTTCTCCCAAAGCAGAGAAGGCACATGACCACAGGGCGCCGACTCCCACTTGCAGCAAGCCACAGCAAGAGGTCAACTACCTCCTTGTCCACGCTCTCTGTCGCCATGCACTGGTTGTTGGCTAGCGTGGTGATCTCTCGGCTTTTTGGGGTTTCCATTCGGCAGCTACAGAGAGGCACTTCCTGAAGACTGTCTGCTTCCATTGCTTCAGGGCCATTCGAAAGACCTGCGGGCACACACACAGAAGAGCAAGCAAGCCAGTCAGCGCAAAGCACCATTATAATCCCTAACAAGGTGAATGCAGATGGGAGCCACAGAACGGTCTGTTTAAAGCTGGCTTGTAAATAGTCCCTTGCCTGTGGCAATGATGAGCCACATCTCGGTAGCTCAGGCAGGGAAACTTTATAAAGCAGGTTTCTCTGTTGCACACAAATGACTAACGTATTATCAGCAAATGTGGGTGGGCTTTCGCAGACTTATTTGCGCTGCTGTGTTATAAGGCCTGACGGCACCATCCAAAAAGAGCATGCAGAGTGCTTTGGGAAATGTCTGATCTGCTGTTTTGCATTGACAGAGGCAGGCCCCGTCCCCAGCTGTATAGGAGGGAGAGGATATAAGGATCAAGTAGAAGAATTTTAAAGATGTGTTAAGATTGGAAAAGGAAGGAGCATCCACAGGAAATCCAGCTCTAACCATACAACTCAAAATCCCAATAAAATGGAAAATAAAAGAGCACAAGCAGATCAGGAGATAAGGAGACTTTGTAAAGCATTTTCAGGCTTCAAAGCGCTTCACATATATTGTCTCAGTAATTTCTACAACCTTGTGAGGTAGGCCAGTGTGACCCACATATTGCAAATACAGGGCAGGGTGAGAGTGGTTTGCTCAAAGCAACGTGGTGAATCCACAGCTGGGGTGAGATTTAAACCAGCAACCTCTCAGACTAGGGCTCATGCTTTGCCACTACGCTACACTGGCTCCTGACAAGCTCTACATTCTGTTCAATCGCTACTTGTTCAAAGTTTTACTGGGTTCCAACTGTGCCTCCCCACACAGTCTCCGCTTCCAGGCTCACACGGGTCTCAGTCGTCTTTGCAGGCATCCACAAGGAAGCAGTCCTGTCTTTTTTTTTAATTACTTCATTTATTTTTTAAAAAACCAAGTGCAGGAACTGTGCTGCCTATGAACTCTTGTGGTTGCACTTGGAATTATATCCCGAACCCGCGTGAAAAGGGTTAAGCTGATCTATCGTTTCCTGGAGCAGATTCCCAGCAGCTGCCCCTTGAAATCAATGTACTGGTGGCGATGTCAGTGCCAAAGTATTTCTGGAAATCAATGCTCTTTGTCTCAGTGGGCTTCCCTCCAGAGGTGAAAGCCGTGGAGGGGGGCAGGATTGGGAGGAGCGAGAGGAGGTCCTGTGAATCACTTTCAATCAGTACTAAAGCAGCCGGGGACCATGCATCATTAAACAAAGAGTTTGCTCAGCCTACTGCAGCCTGGCTGAACGGATTACTGGAGAGAGCCAACACCAAAAAGGGGAAGGTGGGGAACTCTCAAGGTGAAGGGCCATGTGCAACTCATGTGCATCAGTCCTCGAGGACTTAGCCTGAGGCCAGGGCCAAGCAGTGTGGAAAGGTTTCCAGCCCACTTTAGGATTAGCGGCTGGATAGCACACAGCCTTTAGCGACGGGACCGATCATATTCGAAGCAGGAGGCGCTTCTACCAAGCAAAGCCGTCAGAAATCCCCATCTGCTCTACAGAACAGTCTTCCTATCAACGGCACACGTACACTTTGCTGCTACCGTCTCCTCCTGTGGAATTAGATCACGTGCCTCAGGCCCAGGAATAGGCACACAATACCTTTAGGGGACGGACTAGAAGGTGGGGAACCTCTGTTGACAAGGGTTAAAGAAAGAAGAAGACGACAGAAACAACTGGAGGGAGATGCATTCAGCCCAGTTGTCTTGTACTCAGAAATGCTCCAAGCCACAGTACTCACCAGGATATTCCCACTGGGATAATATAAGGAAAGTTACATTCCTTGCATCACTCCCCCACTCCCATCCACCCAACTGCATGTGTTACTGGGCCAAATGAGCCATTAGCCCTCCCTTTCTGTTTGTTGCTATTTGATCCATTTGTGGTTTATTTAGTGATGCTGGCCTCTCCTCCTATTAGCAGCCACCAGGGGGCATCATCTTAATACAGAGAAATGAAGCTAAGGAAACAAAGAACCAACATGGTACATGGCCATATTTAGAAAGCTGACACTCACCTTCTGATTGCGAAGATAGAATTCCCTTTACTCGGAGATCCAAGGAATCCAGAGACACCTCCATGTATTCCATGTTATTCTCCTGTCCAGCTCCTTCTCCACTCCCCAAAGGCGGCTTATACATTTCGGAACCTGGGTTAAGATATAGACATATTTATATAGCAAGAAAAAGAACTATGCATGTTATGTCTCTCTAAAGGCCACATTCATCTCTAACAGACAGTATTGCTGGCTACACGCTGAAGGATCTGCAAATACAGATGCAGATAGAATAATTAAAATGCAACAGCTGGGCCAATTGATCTTTCCCTACTTCCTTCTCTGCCCGATCCAGGCAGATTTCCTCTCTTACAGTTTAAGAAAAGGGGGAAAAAAAGGTGCTAAGAGACCAGGAACATAAGCAAAAGAAGTCTTCCTTTTTCAGACACATCTGTCTGCTGCTGAACTGCAGTAACAGCAGAAGCATACATGGCGAGAGGAAGGAAAGGAGACCTGGCTAGCTTTGGGTTTAGCCTACTCAGACACAAAACAGCTCTGGATCCGAGCAATGCTAAAAAAGACCAATGATGCAGGATGAGATGAAGGGGGGCAAGAAGACATCTGGATTCATCCAAAGGGGAACACAAGCAAGCATTAACAGCAGACTCTCAAGGAGCAAGGCAGGAGCTGTTGAAGAAAAGTGGGGAACCTCTAACAGCAACTAGTCCTTGCCTCCCCTCCATGGCTCCACTCTTGTTCCCCCTTCCTGAATCTGCATTGCTATGCCAGCAAGGTGGCCTGCCTAAGCCTAGGGCTGGTATTCACCCTGCAATCCCCCTCAGCCACTCCCTTCTCTAAAATTAAGCCATCCTCATCCAATCAGAGAGAAGGAATGTTCTGAATGACTTCAAGTAAAACCAGTCACAGCCACAGTGGGCCCCACCCATGGGCCAAAATGCATTTATTGAGCTCTGGAGCCACTCCAAAGAAAGGTCAAGGTAGGCATCGTAAGGACAAGGAAGAGATCAGTATTTTTACTACAATTTACACTGAGATCTGTCGCCTCTAAAGGCAGTCTTGCTCTCTGACCCATAGAGACTGCACAACTCAATCTGCTGAACTGAGAGATGAGCAATCCTGCTCAGCTCTCAGGAGGTCAAGCCAGTTTGTTCAGGGCACTGCTAACCCTGGCTTAGCAGCTCATTTTATCAGTCAACCACAATGAAGAAGGGATTGAGTGTGGCCAGGCCAGGCTTTACCCTCACTTCTGCGGGCTGGAAACCTGGGAGCTATCTGATCTTTCTCAGAAGGCAGCAGAGACCTTGGGGTCTCTACTGAACCAAAGAAAAGACTAAGCTGATTACCTAAAATGCTGCTTTGTTTCTTTTTACTCCTCCGCCTCCTCTTCCGGGTGGGTTTCACCCATGGGCTGTCTGTCTTCCCTTTCCTCTTCATCAGTTTCTTCTTGAGACTGGACTCTGAGCTCTGTAAAACCAGAGGACCCATCCGCTTCAGGAAACAGTGACCTGATCCTCATTAATGCCAAGGCAGGAGCAGCCATGGCCCTTACCCGGGATGGCCACAGTTAGTGGCAACGCCCTGCATTTTGTAAAACAGCAGTTCTACAAAACACCACAAAACCTACATTGCAGTCCGAGGCTTTAACATCAAGGAGGTCTGTAGCTTGGAAAGAAAGAAAAAAACAACCCTTCACATCATATCAACAGCATCCCCCCCCCCCCCCAGTAGCAAAAAAGTGGCAATGGTAGCGGGGGAGAGAAATAAGAATAAAAATTCTGCACCCAGCCGATGCATGGTCTGAGTCAAGAAAGGCCCGGTTCTGCACAAAGTGTGTGAAATGAGCAGTTCAGCACAATTTTACCTTACTTTGCATCTTACGTTATACGATTTTTACAATTTAGTGCTGGGACCTTAGTGCACAAATATTTCGCTTCTCGTCACCAGCTGTACAGGCAGCTGCTAGCTGGAAGTGAAACAGTTTGACCCCACCTGGCACTGAGCTTCTCCCACAATCATTCTAGTCTGTCACACATGAGGGAGGGCACCGAGCCACTGGGGTGGGGGGGGGGGGGGAGGGGGGACTGAGCCTCAGAGGTGGAGCTTCCTCAGTGGTGGTGCCTTGACTAGGGAAGGCCCTTCTCTGCTGCAAGCTGCCCAGAGCAGTTTTTTGACCTTCCAGTATCAGTCAAAAATATTTTTATTCTCCCGGGCCTCTCTTTGTGTGTGGATCTGAACAGATTTTTAGGATCTTTAGGGTGAGTTCCTTCCCCCTTTTACGCCTGCCATGGCCAATCTATTTTATGGGCTCCTCCCCCTGCCCCTGTGCTGGGTTTTACTGTCGATTGGCCTGGTGAAATCAGGCTTCAGCAGACTGTATCGCTGGTTTAATGCCTTAGGCATTAAAAAAAACACTAGGAAGAACAGCACATGGATGTTTCACATAAATAAATACTGTTGGCTGTTCTGATGGTTCATTCCCTCTCCCTCTAGTTTTATTGACTGAGCTGCCTGAGGAGCAACTGCAGTAAGAGTGTGGACAGAAACATCTCAAATAAATAAATTAATGGGCTGCTGAAGCCCCAGCCACTGGAAATCTTATTCGGCATCACCCCTACTTTCTAAGATTCCAGCAAGCAGAGGCCAGACATATTTAAGTATGGATCCGATTCCATGAGGACTAGAAACTTGCTTTTTTCAAAAATCAAAGATTCTCAAGCTTAACATTTCTGGCCCTGATACTACGTTCTGTTCTTTGTCAGCATTCACAGCAGATATGAAGATACAAAAACCCAGAGCTACAATGAGTTTTTTGTTTTTGTCCTCAACAGAAGGACTATGGTGGTGGTCACACCATCAGCACAGCAGGGCTTCAAACCCCTGATGGACCAACTCATTTTGCCCTAACAGAAAATTCGCTCTCTCAAGCTACCAAGGATGCTCAGGATGCAAAGTTTCTTCTGCCCACAAGCAGAGAGATACGGGCTCACCCAAAAGTCTTCATCCCTTTTTCTTTATTAACAAATTCAATCAGTTCTATTCAGACTAAAATGGCACGATCACATATCTTAAGCTACACAGATAATTACAACCAATAAGTTATTGCTAGGGATAAAACTAAAAAAAAAATATGGTCAGCTAATAGGGACTCCGGGGCAAGAGATGCTCTGTATTTTTGGTGCTTGGGGGGGGGGTCAATAGTGTGAGGGCTCCTAGGGTCCTGGCCCCACTGCTGGACCTCCTGATATCACCTGGTATTTTTGGCTACTGTGCGACAGAGTGTTGGACTGGATGGGCCATTGGCCTGATCCAACGTTGGCTTCTCTTATGTTCTTAATATCTGGGAATGAGAAGGGTGGGATCCCATCTGCAGGCAGTTCAGTTCCATTCAAATCAATGGCATTTAAGATGCTCTACTCCGTGTTGTACTCACCCCAAACCCTTCAACATCCTTCAAAATGCTTTCAAAAATGGCAGAATTCTTTTTAAACTTTCAGGCTTGATAAGAAAAACAAAACAAACCCAAACACCCCAGGACAAAAATGTCTACCTTTTAGAACTGCTCCAACGTAATGGTTTTAGGAGACTGACGGCTGGTCTCTGCGTGGGCCATGCAGGTTCAAAATCCCCGCTCAGCCATGAAGTTTACTTTTAAGCCTTACTTTGAAGGTTGGCTTAATAAAAAGAGACTGTTTCAGCCAACCCGTGATACCTAATTGGCAATCAACAACCAGAAGGAAAAGCCGGACATGCTTTAGGGCACACGTGCACAGCTTTCGACCCCCAGTGCAAAGCATGTACGGTGGCCTGCCAAGGCCCTGATAAACCACCTGCTTGAGCTGCCTGCCTGGAGACCACAGAGCACACCTTTTGCAGCATGCAGATGGTCCCAAGTTCAGCCTCTGCCATCTCCATTTGAAAAGGATCTTAGGTAGCCAAGTGCTGAGGAAGGCTTCCCATTGCCTTCAAGACCCTGAAGAGCCACTGCCGGTCAAGGCACTGAGTCAGACTGCCTCGACAAAACACAAGATCATCAGAGATTCCATTTTGGGCATCCACTGGATGGGGAGGAAAAGTGTGCTGAGTGAACCCATGGAGGAGAAGATGATGGGAGATACTTGGTCAGTATCTGAGCAAAGACCCTTCCCCCCCATCTCATCCCCTCCCTGAAGTCACAGTCTCTCCTCTGTGGCCATCCATCATTTCAGCCAAGGTAGAAACACTTAGGACAGATAAGAGGAAAAGTTGCAAAGGCCACTGGCAGAAAGACAAGCCACACGCCCTCAGCCTTGAGCAGAGCCACCTGGGCTGCCATCCCCTCCAGTCAAACCTTGCCTGAATTGCACCCTTAAGTGCAGTAGGGCTCCTCGGTTTACAGCCAGTCTCGGTGACCGTCAGCTCCGTTTTCCCTCCTTCCTGCTCGGGCAGAAGAGGAACGATGTCCCGTTTACTATTTATTCATTCATTTACATCTGTTTCCCACCCTGTACCCAAGAATTCAAAACGTCTTTCTCTATTACTTGATCATTGTATAGTGAAGTAGATATTGCTGAGACAGCATACTGTACAGAAGTTTAAATCAGTAACAAGAAAGGCTATGAAGTCAGAGCAATTAAAGTTTTAATAACAGATTAAATTCTGACCACCACCACCCCTTTACTCTGCTGGGACCAACAAATAAAAACTGGTGGGTCACTTCAAGAACCTCCTGCTGTTTAAACAAAACAGCTTAGCTGTCTACAATCTAGAAGGTTAATTGTGTGTTTTCAACCTTGGTATCAGAATGCTAGTTCAAGGACAGGGCAAAATTATAGGTCAGGCTTATGTACAAACCAAAGACTGATTATAAGGGGAAGGGTATTTTAAAATTTTACAGCAAAAATAACTTCTGTTTCTAGATGGTGGCCAAGACTAGAAATAACAAGCAGAAGCAGTGATTTTTTAAAAAAAATAGAAAACCCAACGTATTTTGAAGAGGAGTTCAGTGGCACCTTAAAGACTAGTAGGATGTATTCCAGCATAACCTTTCAGGAGTCAGTGCATGAAGTTAGTCTGAAGTGAGCCCTGAGTCTTGAAAACTTATGTGGGAATTAATTTTGATAGTCTTTAAGGTACCATAGGATTCTTGCTTTATTTTTCTATGCATCTACCCATCTGGCATCCTCTTTCTCAAGGAAAAAGTTGACTTGAAGGCTACAAATCCTATACACACATACTTAGATGTAATTCTCATTACGTTGGAAGAGACTAACTTCCAAGTTGACCTGAATAGGACTGGACTGGACAGCACTTATTAAAATTGTGTTAGGAGTCTCTTGTTAAAATGATATGTATGAACTCGCATGCCATTTTTCGTAATAAATCTACTTACGCACCTCCCTATCAATTATTCCCATATTGCAACTCGCAAAGCAAGCTAATGAGCTTCATGGCAGAGAACAGATTTCAACCTGGGCCTCCCGCATCCAAAACCCATCTATGGATGTGGGCTCTGAAACTCAAAAAATCAGCACAAAAAAAAAGAAGAAGAAGAAGAAGGGATGAATGCTGGAGGAATGACAAGGCCAAAGGCCAAGGCACAACTTTGCAACTGCAATAAAATTACTGGAATTAAAAACTAAGATGAGAGACTCAAGGCAGTGTGTCAGAAACAGTTATACAAACGAGCGATAATATATAAAAGAAAAACAACCCAGCAAAACAAATCAGTCTTGCCTGTGGTTTAATCAAGACAGGGCTGGAGGTGTGGTGGTTCTCACTGTCCTGCTTGTAGTGTGTGCAGATAGGGAAGACAGATAAAAAAGATCCAAAGAAACAACTCACCAAGTCAGACTCATCGCCGTCTTCCTCATCTTCTCCTGACTCTCCAGAGTCTGGGTCCTCCTCAGATTCCCCGTCGACCATCTGCAATACCCAAAAGAAACCCTATGTAAGCCGAAAATGTGGGCGTGCACAAATATGCATTCCACCAAATTCCCCTCACCCCTCCCATCATGCATCAGGCCCTTTTGCAACAAGAAGCTTCAGAGCTCGTTAAGAGTTATGGGGGGGGAACCCTCACACTCACCAATGAATTAACCACTTGGTTGCATACTATCTGCTGTAGCCTCAACCCTCCCCCCCCTCCCCCAGCAAAGCAGGAACAACAACACTGGCCTAACTTGAAGGAATGAGGTTTACTTATGCTGGAGATGTCATTTGAGTCAGGCAAATTTGTTACATGGTCACTGGAGCTGCTCCAAAACACAAACTTCTGGGCAAAAGATCTTTTTGAACACTTTAGAACGAACAAGCTATGATTTGCCACCTGGGCTGCCATCCCCTCCAGTCAAACCTTGTTGTTTTATTATTGAAGGTTGGGTACCTGGCTCAGATAGTGAGCTCATAATGAGCTTGGTAGCCGCTGCAAGATGTGTAATGTTCCATCGGAAATCCTCAATATTGCCCCCCCCCCAATATTAATGAGTGGGTTATGAGAATATGGAAAATTGCTCTCCTGTCTAAACTGAAACGTCAAAATAGAACTATAAATCAGAAAGATGGGCTTTGTTTATAATGTCAAGGAATGATAACAGATTTGTTTCTCCTTTGTTTTTGTAACTTGGTAATGAGTGATAATTTTGTATTCTTTTTTGCATTTTCTCCCCTTAAAAAGTTTACTAAGCTCATATAAGCGAAGCGCTTTGAGCACTTGGAAAAGTGATCAGTGGCTTCTAAGGAAGTTAGACCACTTGGCCATCTAGACCACAACTGTCTATGCTGACTGGTGGCAAGGCGACTCTCCAGGTTTTCAGTGAATGGGGGGGGTGGGAGCATTCCTAACTTTGCTACTAAGGTTTATTTAACTGAAGACTGAACCTGGGATCTTCCACATAGGAAACATGTAAACCTAAGCACAGCATCCTTCCTGGCAGGGGCTGTCAAGGAATTGAACCCCCAAACGACAATCATTCCCAGAAACTAACATGTGAAGTGCTGCTGCTAAGAACAATATTGATTATCTTGCTTTTGAGTAGGACAATGGATTAAGATCTCTTCCCACAATTTGTTGTTAATGTTGTATATGAAAATCTAAGAAAAAGAGTTGGATTTATACCCTGCCTTGCATTCGGAGTCTCAAGAGTGGCTTACAATCTCCTTCCCATCCTCTCCCCGCAACAGTCACCCTGTGAGGTAGGTGAGGCTGAGAGAGCTCCAAGAGAACTGTGACTGGCCCAAGGTGACCCAGCTGGCTTCATGCGGAGGAGTGAGGAATCAAACCCGGTTCTCCAGATTAGAGTCCACCACTCTTAACCACTACACCAAACTGGTGTATACACAGCAAGTGTGCATAGCTGTGAACTGGCACTGGCTTCTGGTCCCTGCAGTGTATTATTTTATTTTTACACTGGTAGAATTTATATTCCAGCACATGGCTTTTTAAAAAGCCCTCAGGGTGGTATCCATGTGGTGCTAAATGTGTATTTTTGCCACTGTGCAGTGTGTGAATCACCCCAAAGGGAATTTGTTTCCTCTCCCACTCTGTAATTCACATGGCAAGTCTAACTGCAGGGAGAGACTCATAAGGCAAAATTCCATTCCATGGAAGAAGATTTGCAATCCTAGAACGAAGTGCCAAGCCTCAAGGCTAGCTCACGCTGGTGGTTTGGGTCTAAGCAACAGGTTGGTAATTGATGTTTAATCCCCAGCAATTTGCATGCTGGTTAATAGGTGCAAATAAACCTTGCTGTGCCTTACAAAGGACTGGATGCTTGCAGTCCCCTTCCAGATTTTCTACAAGGGAAGCTAAGAGGGCTGTTTCTGATGTGCCTTGAAATACATTTTCTATACATCTGGAAAGTGGAAACATGAGGCTCAGTTTAGAAAAGATAGGGAGCATGCATCCTGTAATGGAACACAGGTAAAGACATAAAAATAGCCTTGCTAGATCAGGCCAAGGTTGCATTCAGATATTACAATAAACCAGAGTTTACAAGCCATTGCTTGATCAAACCTACATAAACTATAACATAAAAATGCAGACAGCCCAGTCAACTGGGGTTTGCTGAATGGCACCAAGCTGACGGGCTGGACCCAGACTAAACTTTCTGTGAACAGAATGGACGTATAGTTTCTGCCAATTCCTCTCTCCTGCTGTAGAGCCCTAGATTTGTCTCTCATGCCAGTCCTGTTCCCTACGAGCTGTATTTTGACGAGATCAACAGAGACTGCACGGGGAGGGGGGAGGCAGAAAAGTTTGGTTTTGCTCACAGAAGTGCCTTCCATTAGTGGAACATTTAGTCTGGACCCAACCCAATATTTCACACTTGGGTTGCAGCTTGTTTGTTATCTACAGTATATGGTTTGTGAATTGAGGCATCACTGTTTGTTGAGCAGCACAACACCTCACCTGGCCACAGGGAAGATAAAGAGGTGTAAAGGAGGCAAAAAAGCAGACAAATTCACTTTGTTCACAAGCAGCAATCTGTTACTTGCACCGGACAGATTAAAGTTTGGCCCTTGGGGTAGCCTCTATTGTCGGTATGGTCACAGCTAGGGCACAGGTTTTTTTTCTGTGGTGGGTCCAGGCCTCTGAAAACGCTTCCCAGAGTGTGTGCAGAGGGCCCTTTCACCAGCTGCATTCAGGAAGGGATATAAGACGGTTTTAATTTATACATTCATCTAAACGCAGCCCCAAAGATGTTCAGCATCCTGTTTCCAACAGCAGTCAATCAGATGCCCTGGGAAGCTGGCAAGCAGAGCTTACAGGTTACACCTCTTCCCCACTGTTTGCCCCTTAGCAACTGGTACTCAGGCATATGCTGCCTCTGAGGTTCTGGAGGTTCTATATATTAAAGCCCCAGAAAAGGTAGTCCTTAAATGGCCATCTTCCCACAACAATCTAGCACTTTGAATGGATATGAATACAGGGATATGAATTGACTCAATAAGGACTAGTACTACCACTTCAGGGTTATAAAATTTAAAAACTCCCACTGGTGATTGTCAGGGGGAGGGGAAACAAGCTTTTCCTTTGAGCAGTTAAATGTTGCACTGAGATGGAGGCTCTGGAGGCTGGGCCAGGAGCAGGGAAGTGACATCAGTGAGCATCTGACAAACTGACCTCAGCCCTCCCTGAGCCCAGAAGGGTATCCAAAAGCCCCACTGGCTCTACTGGTATGAGAATTGGAAACATGAAGACCCTCTCGCTGGCTGGGGAGGAGGGCTCATGCTATATAACCAAGCAGGACCTACTCCCTCCCTCAGGACAGAGGAAATGGTGGAAGCGTCCTCTCAGTGGAGTGTCTCCTCATGCCCGGCACAGGATCTGCTGAGCATCTGAGGCTTCATCACAACCTTCCCCCTTTGCGAAGGGAACACTGGGAGAATGTGAAACTGGTAAAGACATCCCAAGCATACCCTGAGATTGAAGAGAAGGCACCTGGCTTCCAACTGGACTGAAGGCCAATGATGAAGTAAGTGACCCCTTCCTCCACTGGGGAAAGCCTGGGCGCCTAGCAGGCTTCAGTTCAAGGCTTAAGTCGTACGCTCTGAGGTCTCTCGAGTAGGTGGGGCCTCCATCCTCTGTCAGTCACCTCACCAAAAGCAGCCCCCTCCCAACATCTGATTTTGGCCATTCTGAGCCACATTCTCAGTCCCCTCTGTCCTGGAAAAGTTTTTGTTCCACACCATCAACTCTTGCCTATCTTTTTACTGTTCATTTGCATGGGCCAAAACTAAAACTTCCCCTGGTAGCAATTCCAATCACCTTTCTGACTTTGCTGGCCTCTGCAGCCTCATCCTTAGCAGTTTGGTTGTCCTCTGCAGGAAAGGCAGATGGATGCTCCGTCCCACGCTCGTCTTCCTCCTCTAGCTCATCCGAATCTTCCTCTTCAGAATCCACCTCTAAGCTTTCCCCGTTCACATGAGGACTAGCATCACCCTTTTCATCCTGAATGTGCCCGGACAGACAAATCACAAGGCAACAACATCAACACATGTGTGCATTTATGTGCACACACACACACACACACACCACCAATGCACAACTGAACCATTTGCCACGCACTTCTTGAGGCAGGGATCTGTTGCCAATGAGAGCCTACCATAATCAAGTTGTGCAAAAACACCCATATTTTCTTCTTTATCATGATTTCCATACAGCACCACTTTGCATATTTTATAACAAAAAAGCAGAATGGTGTAAATGTTTTATTTATAAATGGAGGGAGATAATAACCCTACTGTGTATGGTATACACAGGAGCATCCTGGGAAGAAGGAAACTGATTTCATTTTTGTTTTGTGGTGCTGCTTAATGTGTTTTATATTAAATTTTATACTTGACCCAAGATATGCATGGAGGGTAAAGAATGCAGCCACCCTGCTGAAATTAAGCAGGTCGGGATCTGGGCCTGAAAGGGAACCTTATGGACTTTGCCTTGAGTTCCTTAAAAGGAAAAAAGGATAAAAAAGTAATAAAACGAAAGGACATAAATAGAATTCTATGTACCATAAGTTGCCTTGAATATCAGTTATGAACAAAACTAGTTGCATTCAAACAATGAACAATATCTTTGTATGTATCTGCAGTATACACAGCAATTATCATTGTCTAATGCTGTACAATGTCTTGTATAAAAACCTTTACAGTACACACTAAGCAAGTCTTTGTCTTAAAAAGCATTTCACTTACTCCAACAAAACAAAACAAAACAGGTTTTTCACCAGCTTTGCACCAGAGGGAAAAAACATTCTTCTCCAAAAATTTCCAGTTTTTTCCCCTAGCCTTCACATCTCAAGTTGCCATTTATATACAAGACTGCTGTGCTGTGGAACCATTCAATCACAGTGGGATTCAGGGTTTTTGGTAGCTGCCAGGTTGCTACAATAACATAAGGGTTGAGCTTTAGAGGGAATGAGGCAAGCATACAAGTGTGTTAAGAGTGTTTGTGTGAACTTAATAAAAGCTAGACAATTTGCAATTTTACACACATGTACACATGTTAAAAGGGACTCTTCTTTAACTGTAAGACTGAAGGGAAAGGGCCTCTAAGAAATGGTCTAAGATTAAACTACCCAAAGGCACTGCAGTTTGAAGGCTGATCATAGATCTGCCAAAGAGTTTTCCCTTCTCCACAAAGGTCAGTTGGGAAGAGGAAATCAGGGCCACAAAGGGGTCATTACATTTTGTACCAAAGGGCATACATCTTGGAAAGCAGAAACTATGCTTCAGCCCTACTGGTGGACCTCCTGATGGCACCTGGTATTTTCTGCCACTGCGTGACAGAGTGTTGGATTGGATGGGCCATTGGCCCGATCCAACATTGGCTTATCTTATGTTTTTATGACTGTTACATCATGTGGAGACATTTCCAGTTTCTATGTGGGTACAGTGTGGTATCAGAGCCTTCCTCCACCTACAAAGCCTGTCTTTGGCCCTCACCTTGCCACCTGCAGAAGCATGGCTTATGCTCTTAAACATCTCAATCACAGTCCGCTGTTTTAAAACTTTGGTCTTTTTCTTGGGAACCAGGCTGTAAGTTCCCATTCTTCGTTTTTTCTTCCGAGACACTGAAGCAGCTGGATGGGAGGACAGAGAGAAGAACATCAGGGGAATGGGGAAGGCATGCTACGCAGAAATATGCAGGGGGTCGCGTGACCAACTCCTGGAGTGGAACCAGATGCATCCAACAGTTGAGGTATAAATCATAAAGCAATGCCACCAAAGCGGTCTCATTCCTTCAGCAGACTACTTTAGACAGAAAAGTGATAAAACAGCTAACAAGGGACAAGAGTCAGGAATTGTGGTCCTGAGCAACAGGGAGACCTATTCAGCTCTGCAAATGTGGTTCTCTTTCCTAGACTCAGATTTGCCAGCCTCTCTCCTGCCCTCCAGATGCACCTGAGATCCTAGCCCAGTGCCTGATGCTAGCCTTCAGAGAACACGGGCCAGCCGTACAGAGATTGCAGGATATCTGAGAGACCAGCACACGGTAAAATCCAGCTGGGGAGTCTCCATTAATACTCTTTGATTTCAGAATGTTTCTGAACTGAAGACGCAGACTGCATTTGGAAGCAGTCTTGTTTCCCAGCCGCAGAAGGCAGTAACAAAAGGAGAAACAGCTACAACAGGCTGCGAGGTTTTAACAGTCATGTTATTTACTTTTACTCATTGCAAATTCTTCCACTTTAGTTCACCATGTTCTTTTTCTGTCTTGGTTTCCTGGGAACACGCTGCCTTTTTCTAAACTCCAGCTAAGCCCAATTCAGACCTCATGAATAGGCGATGGAAAAGGAGAGATATAACTAGAAGTCTTAGCAGGATTAAACTGTAGTTAAGAATCTCATTTATTGGAAAAGAAGATAACCTCAATTTGTTAAAGAGACTCGTGTTCAAACGTCACAATAAATCAGTTAGCTAAATACTTCCATTTTCCATCTTAGCAAGCCATGTGATAAGAAGCAGAGGAGAAGCGTGAAAGCCAGCAATATCTGAACTGAGCCTAACAGATCTCTGGAGAACTGTTTCAGGACATCAGAGGAGAATGGCAATGTTCACGCTGCAACAACCAAGCAGGTTTCAGGGTTGTTCATTTTATATTCATCTCTGTTATAAGAGCAAGAAGGCAGACTGTGAATCTGCCTCATAGATTGAAAATCTTGTGCCTTGAACTGGTAGCTAAAATCCTAACAATCCAGTCCTACACATGCTGACTCAGAGGTAAATCCCACTAAGTTTAATAAGGTTACTCCCAAGGAAAGACGTAACGAGATGTTACAGGGGAGGCATATCCCAGGTAACATCTAATGAAGGAAACACACATTGTCTAACATTTTTCAAATGCATTTTACTCCACTCTTTCTCCGAAGAACTCAAGCACATGCTTCTTCCCCTTTCCGTTTCATCCAACAATCCTATAAGGTAGGTCAGGCTGAGAAAGAGAAAGCAATTGACCAAAGATGAGCAAACAGATCTGAATGTGGGTCTCCCCAGCCCCAGCTCTACCCTCTGCACCACACTGGTTGTCAAATGACGCTGAGAAATTCTGGATTTCCCACCCCCCTGCAAGCAGCAACCAAACAAGCTGGACTAGGATGAAGAAAAAGCAGAATGTACACCATTCTTTCACCAGACATTATTAGGGAGGAGTGTAAGGGAGATGTGTGTTGGCAGCAAACTTATATCCCCCTGAATGGGCCAGGCCTGCATAGCAATGCAGTCTCCGTATCAGGATTTTATATGTGGAGATTTTTCACCATGTCTGCTACCACTGGGCCTTGACTTAAATGGGCAAGAATATACCAATGTGATATTGCACATGCCTAGAATTTTGTTTAACCTGGATTCCCTGCCAATACTTGTGCAACGTTAGTATGACAGAGATCCACAGCTGGGCAGAGAGTGCACAAAGAGCAGGATTACGGAGGACCGGCTTACGGAGTACCAGTTCAAATGACATGCTGGGAGTGTATGACACGACACAAGTTAATCCTTCTTGACCACCAGCATCACACTGAAATTGGGGCTAGGTTTATAAGGGAGGGGGGCAGATTTCTACTGCCCTTTTGCCCCACTTAAACCAGTATTGGGACCCGTCCACACCAACTTATTACCTGTCTGTGATTTTGAGGCGGCCACATAGCTCTGGTTCTGAGGTAGAGATGAATGAAGGCCAAGGACAGAGGGCAAAGGTGGGGGCTTCCCAAATTCCAAAACATGTTTGTTACCATCTTCCTTAGGTGCTTTTGCTTCTTTGGGGTCTTTACTTGCATTCTGGGGAACAGAAATTAAATGACCCTTTATATTCTGGCATAAAGCTACTGTTGTACTACTGAAGGACAACACACACATACACACACAAGCAAGCAGACATTTAAGCTCTTCCCAAAGTGCTCACTCCTTACATTCTCCTTGCCACTCCCAGTTCTCAGTCTCTTCTCTCTCTTTCTTCCACAAATTAAGACAGAAGTGCTCAATCCAAGCCAAGTATCCTGGTCCAGTTGGCTAATCCAGAGCTCAGCCCAACTCACAACTCTTCCAGCCGCCTTGCATCCCTGCAGGGCCAGTGCCAAGAATCGGCAAGGGGAGAGGGGGTGATTCAACATGGCCCATGATGGCCTGGTTGAAAGCCATTTCTGACCAGACACTACAGAGAATGCCTCTGAGGCTCCTACAGTGTCACAGGGATCTCTGGAGTAATTTCCCAATTTATAATTTGGCACCTGGTATTTTTGGTCACTGTGTGACAGAGTGTTTGACTAGATGGGTCGTTGGACTGATCCAACATTGGCTTCTCTTATGTTCTTATAATAGGTGAGGCACCCGGAAGGAGCCTTGTGGAACTCTGTGTCACTTCCTGTAGTCTTGCTGGTGCCAAGAGGGCTTGTTATAGGCTTCTTCCACACACACAACGTGGGATACCATTCTTACTGCATTGGGGGGGGGGATCCACTGGGGCCCCTCAAACTCTGCACGACTGTGTCCAGTGTCTGCACATGGATCACTCCCTCCCTTTTCTTTTTATAAATGAAGATTCTGCTTGGAAGTCTCAGGGTAAGAAGCAAAGAGATCAGTGCAGCTGTACATAATGAAACAGCACTAGGCAAGATTTTCACCAGCAGGGCTAAGGCATCCAAAATGTCTGGCTCAAGGAAACACACACGTGACGAGGGAACAAAAGCGATACCATTTCCCAGGAAAACAGGCAACGCTGTTTCCAACTAATGTCTGAGTTGATTCATGTCAGGAACTAGTCTCAAAATACTCCTTTCCCACGGACCAAGAGGAGCCCAAACCACATTCAATGAACCCTCAACTGTCAACTGAAATTCAGACCACAGTTCCCTTTCCCCATTCCCTTTCCCCTATTCGCAACTCCTGTTACAAATGCCAAGCTGGCTAGCAAATGACAGATGCGGGACGCCAATATGGCACCCACTGTATATTACACTCTACACTTCTTGCAACCATTCTGTTGACTTTTAACTGCGTAGTCTAAACAGCAGCACAGAACTGTTTAATAAATCATAAGAACAAGTCTTCTCGTTTGGTCCTCAGGGAGGGACTGTGACTCATTGGTAGAATGCATGCTTAACATGCAGAAGGTTTCCGGTTCAATCCCTGGTGTCTCTAGTTAAAGGTAGCAGGTGTGTTCTGCATGAAAAACTGGAGAGCCACTGACAGTTAAAGTAGATACTACTGAGCTAGACGGATCCAACAATCTGACTGAGAATCCGTTGGCATTATATTTTCACATATGTTGAAACAAGCAAGGCTGATGGTGCTGACACCATGCTGGACAAATGTTGGTATGATTTGGGAATAACAATAATGAATTTGTAGTGCCCTATGCAGCATTATAAAGGCTGTGAGAATAGACAATACTAGGACTAGTTGGACCAATGGTCTGATGTAGACTAAGGTAGCTTCAAACACTTATCTGTAAAGGATTCTGATATCTCTGTTTGCTCACATTAGGGAAAGCAGCAAGATACAGCAAAAAATGTGGATTACTGTTATTTTTAAAAGGTTCTGATCAGTCCAAACATTAGAGAGGAAACTGCTTGAGTCTAACCCTCTCACCTAATAATAATAATGATGATAATAATGATGATGATGATGGAGGTGAAAGTTCTCAAGTATTTCCTTGCCAGCCAGTAACAAAAAATCTTCACAAGGCTCTTTTAGAGCAACACAGGAGATTATTGCAAACAGCAAAAAAAGGGGGGGAAATGGCAAAGAAAGCATGAAAAAGAAGAATCTATTTAGGCTCAGAACTGGCGTGGCAAAGAGCACACAACCATCCAATGCTGTGTTTATTACCAGTCAGGTTCTCGAAGGGTGGGTGTAGTTCAGGGGGGAATCTCTCTGTTCCAAAAACAAATTATGTAATCTGTTTTCTTATTAAGACCAGCAAAAATAGCAAGCTTCTCAGTTCACCATAATTCTTCACCAGGCTGGACATTCATGTAAAAAAAAAAAAACCACCCAAGAAAAAGTGCAGGGGTGGAAGTTCAGAAGAGAAAAGAGGTTCTAAGAAATAAGAAAGACACTACTGCTGTTTTTGGAATTTTTCTACAATCTTTGCCCCTCACTCGGTGAGACCGTGATGGCAAAATGCAGGATGACAGACATTTGTTCACATTGTGGCTGCTCTGTGCAGTTCTGACACTGAAGCCAAACAGGACAGGGTGTTACAAATCTGTAAGCCTTCCAATATGGGAGCATCTTTCCCCAAGCTGTGCTTTCTTTTAAATAATTAAAAGCAGCCCTGGCGGTCACCATTCCGAGTCTTAAGCCTAATGATGAGAGTGGCCAAAATGTCTACTTGGAGAAGTGTTAGCAGAAACCACATCCTTCCTCTACAAGACATGGAAAAACAGTGGAATTCCCAGCAGGGCACTAGCCTTAAAAGCCTTTTGTAGGACTTAATAGTTAGATTCTGAAAAAGAAATGGTAATACATCTGAGCCTTTTACTCATTCCCTTCCAGCTGCAGAAAGGCAAAGAAAAATAGTACAAAATTGATGAATAATAATAATAATAATAATAATAATAATAATACATTTTGGTGTTCAAAGCATTTCACAGACATTATCTTCATGTGATGTTTGTTAACACATCTGTAAGACAGATCGGGATTAGGCCCCAATGTACAAACACTAATACATAACTTCAACACTCTCCAGATGGAACGAAGGACACATGTTATGCGTTCTAGACCATTCTCTTTTTCCACACCCAGATTCACTCCCCTCCCCCAACTACTATGCACTGCAGCAGGCTCTCACAGGATTGCTACTTCCTGAATTATTTTCCTCAACCTTTCCTACAAGTACTTTAACATTTCATGATGAGCATCGCCAGCTTCAGTGTGCAAAAGGTAGGCTGCGTACTACAGCAACCAGCACATGTATTGTACTGGGATGTGCACTAAGGTCACTGTGCTTCCAGCCACACTAAAGAGATTTAGCTTCTTGAGACCCATGGGAAGTGGCTGAACTATGAAGAATGACAACTCTGGCGCAGGCTGCAGTGACCGATTTTCCGTAATCCTGCTCTGGTCAGATTTTTCCAGGAAAAATTGAATCTGAAAACTTTCCAATAAATAACTTAAATAGTTAAATAACGTTAGCAAAATAAGGCAAATGCACCATGAACAAGCCTGGACCAAATTACAAGCACTGGGGTTTGTCCATATCCCACATTTAGACCATCTAACATGATAGATTTGCAGCACAACAGCCCTGGGAACTGTAGATATTTGCATATGTTGGATGGAAAAGTTTCCATGGAAAAACATAGCACTGGAAAAATTCCTGGGAAATTTCCTGCCCCACAACACTGCCTCTGATAAATACAGACAGAGCAAATGTATGCTCAGGGTGCTACTACAAATGCTACTGTATGTGCACAACAGAAGGATCACAAATACCCCTGCCTTCCCTCTAAGGCCGCTTCTTGTACACAGGGCTGAGTGAACATGAGAGGGGGCCTTCAGATACCTCGACTCTAACAGAAGCAAGGCTGTGCTTGACTTTGTCTTCAAGGCAGCACAACCCTCTTGAAGACCAGCCTGACTCTCTGTGCACAAACGACTTCTCCCTGGCCTTCTAGGGACCACAATAACTGGATTTTGAAGGTTTGAGGGGATTTACAGTCAATGTCCAGAAGCTTGATAACACATAAGGAAGAGGGGCAGTGTCAAACTACAATGCAAAAGAGAAATAATCTTCAAAACTTGTATCAGAAGAAAAACTGACTTGATCAAATGTGCTGCCCACATATCTTTGGGTGGGGTTTTTTTTGTATTTTTCATGTGTGTGCGTACATGCACCTATGAGTGTGTGTGCATTTGGAAGTCATGGTGACCTCTGGTGACTGGTTATGCATGCACCTGGAAGTCATGGCAACCTCTGGTGATTGACCCCTACTGGGGGTCTGGAGGATAGAGAGGTGGCTGAGTAAAGCCTGCCCCCACCTCCCAACTGCTGGTATTCCAAGGAGTTCTCCCATCTCAGTACTTGCCAGAATTGATCCTGCTTAGCTTCAGAGATCTGACAAGATCAGGCGTGCCTGGGCTATCTGGGTCAGGGCACGCTGCCCACAGATCTTAACAGAATGTCTTCCTATTTACTACATCTTTCCCCTGTCTCTTCTCCAAGGAGCGTAAGGCAGAATACGTTTCTCCTCCCCCATTTTATCTTCACAAGAAAATTGTAGGGCACCACAGAGAGGAAACTAGGTGGTATTACCTATGTGCAATATTACATTAGGGAGGACAGGTCCATCAGTGGCTAGTAGCCATGGAGATTAAAGGGAACCTTCCCACATTCAGACGCAGTAAGCTTCTAAATACTGGTGGCTAGGAGGCAGCATCAGGGGAAGTCCTTGGCTTCTATGTCCCGTGGCTGGCCCTCCAGATTAACTGGTCGGCCACTGTGTGAGACGGGATGCTGGACTAGATGGACTACTGGACAGATCCAGCAGGGTGCTTATCTTCTAAAATAAAGCAATTTAGAAAGAAACTGAATAATAAATTCCTTTTTTAAAGTGCTTTTACTTCCACTTTCTGCTTCCAAATTTATCCTGTAGAGGAAAGCTAGGACTGAATTCTCACTAGTGTGTCCCCACATCCCCGAATACCACTCCAGTCAATGACTTAACGCTCAACAATCCTGACAGAAGATGTGCACGGCCTCCTGATGAAACATGCTATGCTTGAGATGGCATGAAGGCAATGCAGAAGCCCTGTTCCTGGAATGTGGAACCCTGCTTTTCACCCCTTGATGTCACAGTAGCTGAACGAGGAGTGTGTGTGTATAAACACAGCCCTGGAAGCCTGCCCACCTGAACACAAGAGGCTGTTCTGCCAAGTCAGAATCCTGGTCCATCTAGTTCAGTATTGCCTGCAGCAGCAGCTCTCCAGAGTCTCAAGGAGAGAACGGTCCTTCCCGACAAAGGATACCAGGACTTGATGCCGGCACATTCTGCATGCAACACAGATCCTTTCTTTGCCCCTGGATTTTGTTTCTATTGAAAATCAACCCAGTTATAGAGAGGGGGAGGACGGGTCTAAGTTCTCCGAGAGGGCCAGAAAGCAGTTCCCTTCAAGGTTCTGGTAAGAAAAACTTGCCCCTAAATCCCACACACAGTTGTCAAAACTATACTCAAGGGAAACAAAACTCTCGCTTGAAGCTTACTCGTTTTTTTAAAAGATGAAAGCCTTTTCTGTGCTTCCGCAGAAGCCCAGCACACAATTGAACTGGGGAAGAGCAGGCTTACAGATTCCCTAATTGTCAGAAATCCTAGATAATGCCTGGGATTCAAAGCCTCTTTTCATCTGGAACCTGGCTCGATATTTGTATGCTTCTCTGCCCACCAAAGAACCTGCCATGGGAACCTAAGAAGTTTCAGCATCCTCTGGCCTGAATAGCTGTTAAGCCATTTGCATTAATAGAGAACCTAAACATTCTGCGTGCCCAACCAGAGCACATCTGCCAAGTTGTCAGCAGGGAGGTGGTCACCTTCGGGAGCATATTTCTAAAGGTCACTGGCAGGGCCTGTCAACGTGCAAGTCCAAGCGATTAAAAATATTTCCAGGTGGTACAGTATTAAAGCTGCTCACACAATGGAAACAGACCTGTGAACCAGACTGCTGGACTTCCCTGCACACACTGCTTGATATCTATAAACACAACCTGCGCTGCAGCAACTCTGGAGAAAATGCGGAATGATTCTCGAGGAAGAGATGAGCAAGCAAGAAACACAAACAAAAGCCAGCAACTGAAATGACCCTGAAGTGCAATGCCAGAATCACATTAAGCTGTGTTATACAAAAGTGAAAACTATCTGTAGCTTTGTGGGAGCTGTGGCTCGGAGCTGCTTGGCTTGCAGAAGGATCCAGGTTCAATTCCCCGCACTTCCAGTTAAAGAGTCTCAAGACAGCACACGATGGAAAAGACCTTTAGCTTGCCTGAGGTCTTGGAGAGGAGGTAATACAATTTAGCATAGCACAGCTTCATATGTTCAGATGCAAGCTTGCCCCCAGGATGCTCCGGAGAAACTGCAAAGATGTAGAAAATGAGGGACAACTGGGATTTCTAAGGAACATATCAGCTTCTGCATAGAAAATAAAACCCAGCTCAGTTGGGGAGGGGGGGGGGGAGGAACCAGCAAACAGACCTTAAGCCCAGCTGAATCCCTGAGTATTTTCTGCAGGAAATACACTAAAGATTATTCCCTTCTCAGGCAGATGGAGGTGAGGCAAGAAGTATACATTTTATTATATGACGTACCAGCTGTACAGTTTATGAGTGAGTTGCATGCAAATCTACACCAAACAGACAACATTTGTCTGCTCCTACAAGATTATGCATTTTAATGCTACAGGAGACATTCAGGAGCGAGGCAGCTCTTACCAAGATGAGAGTACAGACTGAATTCAGCTGAAGAGCTACATGACTTGGACAAGCACCTGAGAGAGGTTGAGAGACACTGGGAACCACACAGCACGCTTCAGCTCACACTTACCACCTCACACACCAAAACAGAACCACTGTTGGCAGGTGCTTTGGTATACTTTACCAGGCTAGAAGTGGGCTTGGGCATCGTCTTCCGGGCTCTGTGGACCTTGAAGTTGGCATTTGCTGCTGTGGTTCTTTTTGCCTCCATGTCCTTCCCACCCACCCTGAACTTGGCTGGTGAGACAGCCTGTGTCTGAGAAAGGGTGCCAAGAGTTCTGCCCTTGCTGGCTCCTGCAGGGAGGGTTTTTGCAGCATGGCCAGTGAGGGAAGCAAAAGCACTGCTGGTAGTCCTTACGGGCGGCTCCTGAGCCATTTGCTTCGACAAAATGTACCCATTGCTCCCTGTGACAGAAGTCTGCGTGAAGTCATTTGCTTTTATGTGGTTCTGCTTCCCTGTGTCGCTGTCTCTCTCTGAAATGCCATTCTCAGCTATCCTGCTCAGCTTAGCTGCGGAGTCCCCTAGGCTCGCTTTGAGATTGTCCTGAGAGTTTTTAGCTGCACTGGGGTGGCTCTTGGTTTCGTTGCGTTCGCAGGACCCGTTGGTTTCGCCATCCGGGGCCATCTTTGGTTCCCCGACTTGTTTTTCTATGGCACTCTCATCTGCTGCCATAGCATTAAATCCTGGGAACAGGTAAAAAAAGGAGAAGAGTTATAAATTAAGCAGAGGAGGGAAGGAAGACTTAAGGAATCACAATTGCAGAGCAGAACATAAATAACTAAATTCCGGCTTCAACTCAGGAGGGTTGGGTATTCTACATAGTACTTTGTCTGGATTTATAAAAAGTGGTCAACAGATTACGAGGGACCTATAAAGAGAATAAACGGAAACTAGAGATTGGCAGCTCCTTCAGTGATAAAGCAATAAACTGGGGGAGTGCAGCAAAGTTACACTGCAAGACAAGGCAGAAAGTCTAAGACTGTTTACCGACTAACCATCTATAATTCTATACGAACCAAGGTATCCCACTCCCAAATCCAACACTTAATCCATGGTGTTTTTCATTCTTATGTTAAGGGGCATTTCTCAGGCTCTCTATCAGTATTGTCTACTGCATTTATGTCCTGACTTTCTTCCTGCACAGAAAAACAGGTTGCTTGCCTGTAACAGATGATCTTCGAGTGGTCATCTGTGCATTCACACTTCTGGGATATAGTGTGCCTGCGCTGACCCCGATCGGTATAATCGAAAGCAAAAGGGATTTTTGCGCTTGCTCCCAAGTCACATGCAGGGCTTCAGTGCACATGACTACAGGAGGGGCACGACAATCCCGCCAGTTCCTCCTGACCACTGCCATCAGTCTTAGAGCAAAGAGAAAAAAGGGACCGACAGCAGAAGGGAAGGGGGGCGGGTGATGTGAATGCACAGATGACCACTCAAAGATAATCAGTTACAGGTAAGCAACCAGTTTATCTTCTTCGTGGTCTCTGTGCATCACACCTCTGGGAAAGTAACAAGCAAAAAGATGCCTACCTGGAGGAGGGAGCTGGAAGGTCCTTAGACACACACCGACTGCAACACAGACCGTACCACCACAGCTCGCTGATGAAGACGCACATCCAGGGCATAATGCCTCACAAACGTGTGAGGGGTTGCCCAGGTCGCTGCATTGCAGATGTCACGGATTGGCGTGCCCTTCAGGAAGACTGTGGACGTGGCCACGGCTCAGGTGGAGTGTGCACAAAGCAGTTCTGGGAGCAGCTTCTTGGCCAGCAGGTAGCAATGCTTGATTGCCTCCACAATCCACTTGGACAGACGTTGCAATGAAAGTTTGTGTCCAAGTGCAGGTACAGCACAGGAGACAAAAGGGGCTGGAGACTTCTGAAAAGCCTTAGTCCTGTCCAGGTAAAAGAGCACGGCCCTCTTTACATCTAGGGTATGGAGGTGACATTCAGTATCATCCACTGGAGTTGGGAAAAACACTGGAAGAATGGTATCTGCATGCAAGTGAAACTCCGAGACTCCCTTGGGCAGGAATGACACATCAGGAGCCAAGGAGACCCAGCCTTGGTGGAACGCCAGGTAGGGGGATCACAGCAAAGGGCCGACAGTTCGCTCACTCTCCTAGTGGACGTAATGGCAACCAGAAAAGCCATTTTCCAGGAAAGAAGCTGGAAAGCTGCATGTAGCCATAGGTTCGAACGGCTTCCCAGAAAGCTTGGCCAACACTAGTGGTAAGTCCCAAGCTGGCGTGGGGTGGCGGGATGGAGGAAAGAGGCAGACGAGCCCTTTAAGAAACTACTTGGTAAGTGGGTGGGTAAACACCAAGTAACCCTCAATTGGAGGATGGTGAGCAGAGACAACTGCCAGATATATGCGCAGTGAAGCGTGGCTGAGACCCAGGTCCAGACGGGACAGCAGGAAGCCAAAAATAGCAAACAGGTCTGAAGGAGGAGGGGGTAGCCCAACCGAATCAAGGTAGGCCAAAAATTGATTCCATTTCCCATTGTAGGATCTACGAGTGGAAAACGTGCGACAGTGCGGCAACACATAGTCTATCCTGTGCCTGAGCTTTGTCACAGAATTCTCCATGCCGTTAGCCTGAGATGTGGTACATTGTGGTACAGTACCAGATCCCCTTGGGCAAGGACAAGATCTGGTGCTGCCGGGAAGTGAAGAAAGGAGCCCTTGGATAGGTGAAGTACAATGGGAAACCAGTGCTGTCAAGGCCACCATGAGGCCATGAGGATGCATCTTGGAGCCTCCCTCATGATCTTGTGGATCACCCTGGTGAGTAGGGGGATCAGGGGAAAGATGAACAGGTGCTGGTGGGACCATGGGCAGAAGAGACCATCCCCTAGAGAGAGAGGATCCATTCCCTCCTGGAGCAGAACAGGATGCATTTCCTGTTTTGTCTTGTCACAAAGACATCTACCGCTGGTTGACCCCACCTGTCGAACACTGGCTAAAGATATTTCCAGGTGAGTTCCCATTCGTGTAATGACACCCCCACACCCCCACACCCCCACACTCAGGAAGTCTACAGTCACATTTTGGGAGCTGGGAAGGTGAGCCGCTACCAGGAAAACACCCCGGGATTGACACTTGTCCCAAATCTACAGAGCTAGTCTGCACAGATTCCTTGATATTGTGCCACCTTGACAACTGACGTAGCACAACGCTGTGGTGTTGTCCATCAGTACAGCTACTGTCTGAAGGGACACCAAGTGGCGAAACGATCTGAGAGCATATTTGACTGCTAGAAGTTCTAGGAAGTTGATGTACTTGTGGGCTACATGAGTCTGCCAAGTGGATCCCACACACAGGCTGTTGAGATGCGTGCCCCAGCCCCAGAGAGACACATCCGTAGTGATGGTCATGGATGGCATAGGTGGGTGGAAAGGTGCCCCTGCGATCAAGTTCCATGGGTTCTGCCACCATTCCAGGGAAGTTAGCACATGGGAGGGGATGGCGAACTGTTGGGACTGGGATTGACGATGGGGATGAAATCTTTTCAGGAACCACAGCTGGAGTGGCCTCAAGCAGAGTTAGGCAAATACAATTACTGCAGTTGTGGCGGCCATAAGTCCCAGAAGGCACTGGAGTTGCCTTGCTGAGGTGTCCACTTGCTGACGTAGCAGCCGAATCCGGCCTATAATGTCATCCACCCTCTTGGGGGTAAGGAAGGCCTTGCAAACCATGGAATCCAGAATAGCACCAATGAACTGGACTCTCATGGAGGAGAGAAGCATGGATTTCTTGCGATTCACACATAGACCCAGCTCGTTCAGCAATTCTAGAGTCGAGTATGTGTTGTAGGAGGATGGCTTTGGAGTCTGCCACCAGTAGCCAATCATCAATGTACGGGAAAATTCGTATCCCTTGAAGACGCAAGTGGGCAGCAATGATGACTACCATCATCTTTATAAATACTTGGGGGGCTGTGGACAGTCCAAATTGGAGGGCTTTGTACTGATAGTGCTGCTCCCCTATTGTGCAGCGTAAGAATTTCCTGTGGTTGTGATGAATTGTGATATGAAAGTAAGCAACCTGTAAGTCTGGGGTTGCCATCCAGGCCCCATGTCTGAGAAGAGAATGGATGTTCTGCAAGGACATCATCCTGAATCTCTTTGTATGCTATGAAGCAATTGAGGTTTCTGAGGTCCATAATAGGGTGGAGGTCCACATCCTTTTTGGGGACCGTAAAATAACAGGAATAGAAGCCATGGTAATGGTGGGAGGGATGAACCGGTTCTATGGCTTCTTTGTGCAGGAGGTTCTGTACTTTCTCCAGAAGCATGGCCGACTGGGGAGTGGTGATGAAGCTGGAAGACGTTAGAACCTGGACAAAGTCTATTACATACCCATCTGTGATGACAGAGAGAACCCACCTGTCCAATATTATCCATCTCCAGGTGGGCAGGTAACGATGGAGGCGGGTAGGTCTTGGTGGGGTGGGTAGAAGGTCGGAGTCAAAGGCTCTGCTTGGGGCTCTTGGGGACCTTAGGCCTAGACTGGGTGGCTGAGGCAAACCGGGGTTTGCTTCCATATGATCAAGAAGGTGTATGTGGAGACCATTGTTGCCACTACATGTCAGGGGATGACTTGAGGGAGGACCTACGTGACCATGACTTGTTCCAGGATCTGTTCTGCCTGGAGGTTGGAGAAACTCCCAAATTATTTGATGTCTTAATACTCTTATCCAGGTCCTGAAGGACAGTGTCCGTAGAGGAGCTGAATAAGCCTTCTCAAAAGGGAGGTCCTCAACAAAAGCCTTAGTATCTTGCTGGAGGGATGTGGACCGCAACCAGGCAGGGTACCAAAGAGCAAGAGCAGAGGTGAGTGTCTTAGCTACTACATCAAGTGTATGCTTGGCCGAATTAAGTTGGTGTTTAGCTAGAAGCATGCCCTCTTTCTGGATCCGCCTGGCTTGGCGATTAAACTCCTCTGGGAGGGATGAGATATATTCAGACAATTGCTCCCAGAGGGCATATTGATATCTGCCCATACAGGCAGTATAATTTGAGATTTTAATGCCCAATGCACCGGCTGAGTAAAACTTTCTCCTGAAGAAATCTAGCTTCTTCCCCTCTTTATCAGGAGGCAAGGAATGAGCACGCCTGCCTTTGGGGGATGAGTTCACTAGCACTGAATTTGGTTTGGGGCGGGTGAACAAGAATTTAGCACCCATCTCCTGTATCTTATACATGTGGTCGATTCTACAGCTGGAGATGAGAGTGGAGGCCGGATGGAGCCAGGGGGCTTTTGCTGCTTGCACGGGGAGGGCGACGGCATCAAAAACAGAATTGGTAACAGCTGGAGGAGGTTGGACCGTCGTCAGAGTCAGGGTATTTGCCATTCTCTTAATAAACTCCCCATAAGACTTTAAATCCTCCGAAGGAGATATTCGGAGATCCTCCGACACCTTCTGCGGTGGGCAGGGGCTAGCCGGATGCTCGAGGCTCTCATTACCCAAATGCTGCAAGGCATCAGACAAGTTGGACTGATCTGAAGGGTCCAAGAATTCTACCGGTAGCGTCAGCACCAATGGGGTCGGTACCAATGTAGCCACCTTCCTCGTTGTTACAGGCGTCTGTTTAGGGCACTTGTCTGTTGGTATCGACGGCTGGGGCAGCAGGTATTCCAGTGTCAGAGCAGGCTCCCGATACCAAGACAGTCGAGAAGACATGGATTATCGGTTCCAATCCGTCGGCATACAGGGCAGAAGCCAGGGCATGTTGGCTGACAATGCCCCATAAAGGTAATGCAATTGGCGTTGGTCCCAGGGAACAGGCAGAGGAAGAGGCGGTCCCGAGGGTTGGTCCTGGTCATCGATGGATGAATGGCAGGGGGAAGGTTGTGGAAAATTACGGCCTCCCCGGCCTGAGCGAAAACTCTCGACATTGGAGAATCGGGAGACTTGGGTCAAGTCCATGTCCTGCTCAGAGTCAGTGAGCTGTACTGGAAGCAGTAAGGGTGAGGATGGTGCACCCTGTGATTGACCGTGGTCCGGTGAGTCAAGTGAAGCAGCTCCAGGCACAGAAGTTGGGTTTGGCATTTGCCAAGGAGTCGAAGGAACTTTATGTGGGAACTTTGTGCTTCTTCAGCTTGACTGATTTAGTGTCCTTGCCCTGCCAGCGTTTCTTAGCGGGGGTGTGGGCTTCGGACTTAGATTTTGGGACCGAGTGTTTCAGCACCAGTTGACCAACATCGGTAGGAGCCAGTGTCGGGGACATCGTGGTTGTTGACGCTGAGGCAGGAGTTGACATTGAAGCATGGCCTGAGGTGTCTTGAGGTGAAGCCATTGGAGAGAGAGCTGACTCCAGTAAAGCGGTACGAAGCCTTGCAGCTCTGTTCTTTCTCATTTGCCTTGAGAATTTAGAGCAATGAGAACAGGAGTCCACGCAGTGGGCTTCCCCGAGGCACAAAAGGCAAAGAGAGTGTCTTGTTGGGGGGGGCGATCTTACTGCCGCACTTCAAACACCGCTTAAAGAAACCCCACTGTTTGGCCATAGGCTGGGGGTAGGAGAAACCTGCAGAAGCAGAGTACTCACTCAAGTACAGTCCCAAACTGTAAGTTTTTCTTTTCCATTTAGGTAATCCACAAAAAAAAGGGGGGAAATGAGAAAAAAGAAAGGCCCAATAGGCCAGGAAGAAAAAATACCAACTGGAGCAGAGAAGATCCTAATAGCGCGGCGGTCAGAAGAAAGCTGGCAAGATTGTTGTGCCCCTCCTGTAGTCATGCACACTGGAGCCCTGCACGTGACTTGGAGCAGGCACGAAAATCCCTTTTGCTTTCAATTATACTGATCGGGGTTGGCGCAGGCGCACTATATCCCAAAGGCGTGATGCACATAGACCATGAAGAAGATCTCAAGGATGCTTTCCCAAGATGTCTTCTACCCAGGCACTGACCAGATCACAAAGACAGTGCCAGTATCATGATAAGAGAATTTGAGGTGGAGTGGGGTGACCCAGGTTCACATTCCTTCTCAGTTATGCTGCTCACTAGGTGATCATGGGCCAGTCACATTGTGTCAGCCTAACCTACCTCACAGGATTATTGTCAGCGTAAGATGAAGGAGAGGAGAATCATATACGCCACCCTGGAGCATCTTGGTGGGGCAGAACAGAAATGTGCTAGACAGACCTAGGCCTACTTCACTTAAGCAAGGTTGCTGTACTTGCCCGCTAACCATAACCTGCTATTCTTAGGAAAGTGATAAACTCTCTTCTTTTCTTTCTCTCTCTCCCTACCTCAGCACGGTAATGTGGATAAAATTAGATAAATGCTCCTGTATGCACCTTTCTGCTCAAACCCCCCCCCCACATTAGAGGCTGCTTTCTAGATTCTCCCTTCCATCATCAGAAGTGAGATACATGGTGACCGGCACTACAGAACAGTCACCCAAACGTCTGGCAAGTGCCTTCATTACTGACATTTAGCTGCCGAGGCAAAGGTGATGTAATTTCGTCAAGCACTTGGTCGAGCTGCCGTGGTGTTTGCATTTCATTTCTGTTCTTTCACATTTTTTCCCCTTATTGATCGGTTTGATTAAATTTTTGTAAAATTTTTACTTATGGTTGATGGTTTTCTCAATATGTTCTCAAACATTCTCAATATGTTCTCAAAATTCTGATGTGGGAAACAGAGAGATTAAAATTTAATTTTATGAAGGGAGGCCCCCAAGCAAATTTTAATCAAGATACAATAAAATGTTTGCCCACAGCTTCACTCACAAGGCGGTGAAAAATGTTCTCATTGTTTTTTCATCTCTCCTCTAGTTCGCCCCCCCCCCCCACAGCAGTCTGTAAATGCACAGATCTGTATAGAATGTTGCGCTCTGTAACTGAGAATTCATTAAATGCTAGACGGCAGCAAACGTATTAGGGAGCCGACCATAAGTAGGTCAGCTTGCGTAGCACAACATACTTCTAGCCCTGAACAACTGTCTACAGAACACAATGCCTTATCAAGAACACAAAAGTTGGCCATCCCTGTTCTGTTTCTGTACAAGGACTAATTCTAGATTCTGATCTGAGGAAAATACTAAAACAAATGGACATGAACATTATTCCAAACAGGGCATCTTTCTTTTAGCCTTATGACTTCAGATACTTTTAGGGAAAGTTCCCTTCAATAAAAGGTCAAATTTCAGATGAGAGGCATGCACTGTCCATCCCTAAGTCAATTCCTTCAATTCATTAAAACTGCAGGGGAAACAAAAGTCAGTACATGTTCCAAACACATTTTGAAACTCCAAAACTTAACCAGTTTCATTTGGAATTTTTTCCTGCACTGAAAGTATGAACCACACCAACACAACATACTTTGTATTAATCTAAAACAAGATAACATCCAGCTGTTATTTCCTTAGAATGGTAGACAACAACTTAACATTTTCAGGATGGCAGAGAAAATAAGCATTCTGATCCGTAAGGGACAATGAAGGTAGGTAGTTTAGGGCTTGTATAGAACAGTAGCTTTCCTAGGACCAAAATCACATGTAGATTGTAAAAACAGGAAGGCTGCACATTAACTCGCCTGTTAATCAATTAACCTGCCTCTTCAATCAATTTAGAAGTCTGGAACAACAATATTTAGAATGGCTTTATTTTCATAGAATATAAAACTAATACTTATGTGCATTTAGAACTATCTTTCTATTAAAGCAGCACATGTGAATTCAGCATAGACTGCATGGCAGCCAAGCGCAACAGTCTCTTCCTTCCCACTTAAAAGCTTTTCTTGCAGCAACCACTGGATCCTATCAACTTCAAATCTTTTAAAAGAAATGGAGAGTACATCTTTTCCCAAAAAGAGAATTAGGTCTGCACCATAAAAATGTGACAGCTGGGTAGACAGAACAAATCAAGCGATGGAAGAACTGGTCAAATCAAGGGACCACTGCAAGGCACATCCAATCCTTAATCAAGTGGACACTGGAAATGATCAAGGACAATTATACCAAAGACAGACAAAAGGAATGGAAATCATTTCTGGAATGATAGCATATGGCACAATTCAGTCCATTTATTGTAAATAGCAATACTGTCTTACAATACAAAAACCATCCTATGCATTAAAAGAACAGATCATTCACATCTGCTCATCAGCTCTATGATTCAACCCCTTGCTCTGAACAAACTGAGAATGAACCCCAGGAGCATAGGGCTCTGTCTTGCACAAAGAAACCTGGGCGACTAGGGACAGGCCTTTTCAGTGGTGGTGACTCTTACCCAAGAGGTTTACCGGGATTTTAAGTATCAAGCAAAGAGTCTTCTGTTTCATCTAGCTTTAGTTAAATTGGTTCTGCTCTCATGGTTTATTTATTTATTTATTTATTTATTTATTTTATACCCTGCCCTCCCCGCGTGCGGGCTCAAACCATTGTGCTCAAACCATTCTGTAAAGTGCTCTGTGATTCAGTTGTTATTTGGAATCTGTTTAGACTAAATCATTTCTACTAATATTATCATTTATATTATCCTACTGCAAATATGAAATTATTTTATAAAACTTATCAGCCATTACATCACTTAAATTTTATTGCTGCATCCACTACCTGAAGACAGAGTGAACTAAAAGCTTTTTTGAGATTTGCAGATCACAAACAGAGACAATAACTTACAACTTAGAGGGTATGAACTTATAAAAGAAAAAAGGATACATTTTTGGTATTTCGTAAGCCACAGAATCTTCTGGAAGATGATGCTGAAGCTATGTGAACACTACATAACCTTCTCTGAACACTTTGGACCAAGAACTGAGCACAAGCATAACATAGTCTCATTTGGCTTTACCGGAATGGCACACTGAGCTCCTTGCCAAGCATCCACAGCATATCAAGACAGCAAAATCTTTCAAGATGTTTTTGAAGAACAATGAGGGAACCTGTGTTTACACTTTTCAAAACTTCACTGCTCACAAGTAGCTTCACTGAAACCCTTACAGCCTTGCCAAAAACACTCTGTTGGCTGCACAGCAATTCCACTGACCGGGAAACTGCAATCTGGCACTGAAAGACGTACTCACCTTCCTCCTTATTGTTGGTGATATCTTTCAGCAGCTCAGCCTTCATGCAGTTCTCTCTTCTGGTCTCTCCTTTACCCAGCAGAGCTCGCTAAATGGGACATAAACAATCACCATAACCAAAGATTCTTTCATATACAGTTTCATACATTTATTTAAAACCTTTTATACTGCTTTTCCAAAGCTCAAAGTGGCAAAAAAAACCAGAACAGTAAATCAATCAAATGACTTTTGCACCTTTTCCCAAAACTTAGGAGAAAGGTAGCTTGTCATATCTCCTCTGGAAGAATATTCCAAAGTTTAGGAGCCATCACCAAAAGAGCCCTGCCTATAGTTATTACCATAATCACCACGGAAAATGATGCCACACAGCAAGCAGCACACAGGAAGAGCCCTGCTGGACCTGACCAGTGGTCCATCTAGTCCAGCATACTGTTTCACACATGACTGACCAGTGGCCCTTCGGGGCAACAAGCGCACAATGGCCTCCGGGTTCTCTTAACTCTCCATAGCCAACTCTCCTCCATAAATCTGTCTACCCCCCTCTTAAAGCTATCTCCACTCATGGCTATCACGGCCTCCACAGACAGCAAATGTTTAATTACATGTTCAGTGAAGAAGCATTTCCTTTGGTCTGTCATGCACCTCTTGCCACAATCTTAATTGGTGTCTGAGTTCATATGAAGTGAGGCATATATAAAAGTTAAATGAACAAGACACGCTACTGAATAGGCTGTGCTTTAATTCTCAGACCAGAGCCAAGACTCTTGGGCAAATAGTATACAACAGGTCACAAAGAGGGGTTTTGACCTTGGGGTATAGAACTAGAGATGTGAAGGCGGGGGGGGGGGTTGGGGGGGCTCCCCCCCATTTCCCCCCAAGGCCTTTTTGTCAGTTTTTCCAATGGAAAATTTGGGGGAACACTGGAAAAAAACTCCTATGAAATATTTTCTCTTTTAGAATAAATAAAATGCTACTTAAGGTTTTTCACACACAGCATGTATAGCATGAAAATCACTACTTTCCAATGGAAACTTTGGGAAATTTTAGAGAGCACTAAAAAAAACAAAAAACTTATTCTGTAGTCATACAACTTTTTGTTTAAATGTACTTAATTTTGCAAACAATAAATATGCTGTAATGAGTTTAACGATAATACATTATTAAAGAGTTCAGCATTTTCAATGTTACAAAGTTTAGCTTACTATCCAAATATGCTGGTAGTTCTACCTATTGTGACTCTGTAAGACAGTATGTGTCCAAATAAGATGCTTTCTTTTTCTTTTTAACCACAAGATTTGTTTTCTGCCTTCAATTTTTTCTTTTTCCTACCTCTCAGATGGTAAAATTAAAGCTGTGTGTACTACAGTAGCATAGGGTATGGCAGTGCAGCTCTTTCTCTAGTACTGTCAATACTGGCAATTTTTCTCATACGAAATTAAGATATTTTTAAAATCCCTAAATACACCAAATACAGCCATTTTGGTCTGCCATAGAACCACTAGGTTCAAATCCAGCAGCCCCTTGGAGGCCAACCAGATTTACAGGGTATGAGCTTTCGAAGTCAATGCTCTGAAAATTTTGGTGGTGGACTTGAATCTAGCTGGAAGTACTGCATATATTTAAATTTCCCCCAAAATTTCTGCTCCCTGGGGGGGGGGGGGAGAACAGAGGGAACCCCCCACCCCAGCTTCAAAATTTCCAGAAATTTTACATCTCCATATGGAACAGCTGGGTGCCCTTGAGCAAACTGCTACCTTTCAACCCAGCGTATCTATATCACAGGACTGTTGCAAGAATAAAATTGGACAGATGCATGTCTGCTACCATGATGACGCCCTCGAAAAAGGTTGGCATAGAAAATGCATGGCATAGCAGAGTCTAACTTCCACCCAACTTAGGCACCCCAAGGTGGCAAACAACCAAAACAATGTTAAATTACATATAAATACATATATTAATTAAAACAATTAAAAGCAACATATAAACACAGAGATACACAGAGAGGAGAACCAATGAGACAGAGGGAATGGTATACAAAATAAAAAACAACTTCACTTGCTGAGAGAAGAGGATGATAGAGGGAGAAAAACTCTCCCTTGGGAGAGAGTTCCAGAGTTGGGGTTGCCCTCCGTCTACACTCAAGTGGCGGGGGCAGCTGAAACAGGGCCTCTGAAGACAAACAAGACTAATTGGGTAGGTTCATATGGGAGTAGGCAAACTGTCAGGTATGCTGGCTGCAAGCTGCATAGGGCTTTAAAGATCAATACCAGCATCTTGAACTGGGCCCAAAAGCAAACTGGTAGGTGAAACTAGACCAGAGCGATATGAACCCTATGACCCAATGCAGCCAACGTTCCGGCTGCCAACAGTAACGACAGTCCTCAAGGTCAGTCCCACATAGATTGCACTGCACTAGTCTAATCTAAATGTTACCGGGGCGTACATCACCGTGGCCAAGATCGCTCCTGTCCAGGGATGGCCACAGCTGGCTTACCACCCAAAGCTGATGAAAGGCACCCTGGCCACCAATGCTATCTGTTTATCCAACAGGAGGTCTGGGCCCAGCAACACCACTAAGCAGGGGGAGTGCAACCCCATCCAGAACAGGAGAGGTCCTGATTCCTGTGTCAACCTCCTCGCCCACAGTAGTACCTCTGTTTTGTTAAGATTAAGTTTCAGCCTTCAGGCACTGGTTCAGTTTCCACAACCTCCCAGGAAATGTGCTGGAACTACTGCAGGCTAGTAGGATAACTGGCATCCTTTTGGTACTGTAAGGATGTAACATCTCAGATCTAAATGCACTGTGTTATTTTAACAGCACAGAACAGGCCATGGTTTAGAGACAGAGCATGTGCTTTGCATGATGAAGTTCCAGGTTCATGCAGTGACCTGTCTAATTAAAGGTGGGAAGTATTTGGAAAAATCTGTCTCTGCTTGAGACCTTGCAGAGCTGCTACCAGTAAGAGGGGTCACTGGTTTGACTGGGTACAATAACAGGATCCATAACTCAGTGCAAGCATAACATACTTAGGCAGCAGAGCTAGCAACACCTCTCTCAGCTAGATATCCTGAAGAACTGCTGGGTTCCACAGGTTGACAACCAGATGTGTGAAGGAACTCTTGCAGATCCAGCACGTGTTGATTTCAATCCCTTTGAGCTTTAATTACCAGAAAAGATCAATAAGCATTCTCTGCACTGTTCATGGTCTTTACATACCCACAGCAGCTCTCCCAATGTACTAATAAATTACACTCAAAGACTTGGGGGGGGGAAGAGGCAAAATTTTCCAATGCTTTATTATTCCATGGACATATTTCTAAAGATTGTTTCATCAAATTAAGAACAATGAATGGATGCCTTTGCCAATGCAATATGAAGTAAGCTTGGCAGTTTCAAAGTTGTAATTAATGTTTTTCAGGTGATGATCCCTAGGAACTGTGCTAGAGAAAATATGTTTTATTGACTTGTCAATAGAGCGCAGGAGGGTAAAACTAAAAATACATATAATTTAAACAAATTAAGTTATAAATTAACCCAATCAAAACCAGAGCTAAAATTCTTATTCAAATATGTCACTGTTGCATGGTGGACAGATATTGTAATCACCTATCACCAGTCTTGTTTGTAACTAACGTGAATGGTTAAATTCTGTTGAAATAATTGAGTGGACAGCCACGTCTAAGGCAAATCATACAGAATTCTTTTGACTGTGCTAAAATTAGGAAAAATAGGGAAGGCACTGAAGTAATTGACACAGTAAGGGAAGTATATGCTATTCTGAAGATATTTTTACTAACATTATCCTAATTCTGATTGTGTGCATGCACACAAAAGCTCATACCTTGAATAAACCTTTGTTGGTCTTAAAGGAACTACTGGACTCGAAAATTTGTTCTACTACTTCACACCAACATGGCTGCCAACCTGGATGTATTATTCTAATACAATATGTTTGCAATATGTTTGAACATTTATATCACACGCAGTTTTGTGCCCCTATTCAAATATTTCGGTTCCAGTATTTGTTGCTACTGGGACATAAAATTAACATGAGATATTTTAAAATATGTTTACTAAATATGCCAAAACCAAACATGCTAAATCAGTTTACATTGTACTTAGGGGACTGGATAATTTTCCAGAACATGTTCTGGAAAAATTCTCATCTCTAATTTTTCCAGGAAACCTACCTCACTGATTACATTGGGGAAGAGGTTCTGGCAGCCACTTTAACTCAATTAGCATGCCAGCTGTGTTCTGGAAACTGGCTGTCCCACACCACAATTCCCAAGAAAACTGAGCAGTCACACACTATACCATATGCAACACCACACCCAACAAACCTACATTACCAAAACATTCTCTAAGAGCTTCCCTGATACCCTTGGATGTGTTTCAGGCTTCCCAAGCTGGCGAATCTGCAACTAACAATCCAGGAATACCTGGCTGTGAGAGAAGACAGAATCACTGGGGCTGGGCTTTATGCAAGCCTACACAAAGTGGGCCTATCAACTGAAGGTCAAAACAACTGATACTCCAACAGATAAGAGCCTCCAGCTGCCTAGAATACTTAAATGGGATTTGAACCGTCATGACATCCATAGGACGTCGGCCACCTCACACCAGAGTTGCTATTAAAATTTCACTTAAAATGAAAAAAAGGGTATTTTTGTGTGTGCGCTTGTGAGCCTGGAAGTCATGGTGACTTCTGGCAACCCCTAGTGTGGCTGGACATTTCAGAGAGGTGGCTTTGATATTATCTGTCTCTGCATCCAGCCCTGGTATTCCTTGGAGTTTACCCTTCCAAGTACTTGCCAGGGTTGGCCCAGCTTAGATTCTGGGATCTGACAAGATCGGGCTAGCCTGGAGTATCCAAATCAGGACACTTAAAATGAAATTTGAACCCAGTCTCAGGGGTGGGGTGGGGTGTTCTTCAAGCAAATAATTTGAGGAAAGCTGAATGTATTTCAGCGCCAAGCAAAATTTCAACAGTTGCCATGCATCTAATCTTATATGTCTGTGATTGCCCATATACCAATGTAGCCAAGAGTCATCAAAGAACCAACTTGTGTCATGGATGGTAGAGG